CCCCCCCCCCACGTGCTTGGGACAAGAGGCGGCGCAGCGATTGGCTGTTGGTGGGGAAGCCCGTTCTGTCCTGACCAGCGAAGCAGAAGGACCCGGGTTTCTTTTGCTGCCTAAGGCGGTTACATTTTCCAGCCGTTCCCTCTTCATTGCCACTCGTGGCATCGCCCGCGGCTCCTCTCCTGTTTTCTCCTCCTGAACGAAAATCGCCAGAGGAGACGGGAAGGCTGGGGCCTGGGTGATTGCCCTTGGGGCGCCCCGAGAGGAGGCAGCTTGAGACCCCCTGCAGACCTCTAGGGATGAAATCCACCCGAGCAAACCTCCGGAGAGGGGCGGGGGAAAAGACAAGCAGCGAGATTTTTCAGAACAGCGATACGTTTCCGAGATGCTTTCTCCATTACAAACATGTGCATCTTAATAGGAACCATGGCCCGGCCTCTTCGCCGCGGCTCTGCGGGCCGTGGGAGCCCGGAGGGCGCACGGGTCTAACCGCAGCGGGGGCCACGAGGGCTGGAAAAGCTAAAGAAAACTCGGGGTGGGGAGAGAAACCGAGGAGCCGCCCCTTACCTGAGGAAGTCCAGCCAGCCGTCGTGGAGGATTGAGGGATCCAGTTGCAGCGAGAGGAAGTTCTCGCTGGTGACGCGGAGGGAGCTCCTGGTACTCACGTCCAGGAGGATGAGTGTCCTGCCCGGGGTGCCCTGCGGGCTGGTCCGGGCGGGAAGACGCTTCACCCCGGCCTGAGAGGGGAGAGAGAGGTGAGCCAACAGCGCCAGTCCAGGGGCCAAAAGGGCCAAGAAGCCAGGAGGGCCAGAGCCGGGGCAGGGCATGCTGGGCCGAGGGGGGCTCCCCAATTAAGTCCCGCGCCGGGCACAGCCAGTCACGGGCAGCTAATTGTCCGGAGTGCAAAGCGTGGGGGCGCGCTGCCTTTTTTCCCTCCCCCTCCTCCCCCCAATGTTTTGGTGCTGGTGGAAGAGGGGAGCTCACGCCCCTGACCAGCCTTCCCCGGGGCCGGTGCCAAGACGCCTTGTTCGCCAGCGCCGCCCCTAGAAGAGTCGCCGCCTGCGGACATTTTCGCGTTTCCAAAGGTAAAGGGGAATTGCTCCTGGCTTAACTCTCTCGGCCCGCGATCCCCAAGGGTCCAGGCTGGTTCCCTAAAGGACGATGGCTGCAGGCAGGGAGCGTTTGTTGCCAACGGCCTTTCCCCTCTTTGGTTGCTTGAAAGAAACCTCCCATCCAGGAATTGCAAACAGTCCTTCAGCTAAGGGTAGTTTTGCCACCGAAGCCTCACCTGGGCGGGTCAACCAGAGCCCCGAAATAGACTGCATTGTTCATTCTATTGCTCTCTCGCAGAGAAAGTGCTGGCAGTTCTGAAGAGATCTGGAGCCCGTGCAGAGGGAGGCGGGGGTGCTGAGTGGGGGGGGGGAAGCATTAACTTTAATCTTTGCTTGTTTTCTGGTTCCCCTGCGCTCTTACCGAGCGGTCGGAAAATCAAAAGGGTTGGAAGGGTGCAGGGATACTAGTTAGCAGTTTAGCCGCTGCCTAAGGCCGAGAGCGGAGTCCAGAGCCGGAGGCCGCCGAAAAAGGAGCACTGGGGTTTCAGGAGAAGCGCTGCCCTGAAAAGTAAAGCTCTGCCTGCAAGGAGGAAAACCGGAACGAGATGGAGTGGTGAGTCAACCCACCTTCTAGGCCAGGAGGGTTATTTTTCCCATATTGGAAAGGCAGCCTTTCCCGAACAGCCGGGAAAAGTTCTGCGAAAATGCCCTCCCGTCTTTGTACCCTCTTACCTCTGCGTTCAGCGCAGTCGCCTTCCGCCTTTTCCTTGGGAACCTTTCTCTCCCTGGGTTCCTCGGCTGCAGGAAGAATCAAAGGCAGCGCTGAGGTATTTTTCTAATCGGAGGTGTTCGGAACTGAGGCTGCCATACGGGGCAGGCTGGGGATAAGCGAAGCGATTAATTGAATGGATCCAGTTTTGTCCCGTATACAACTGAAAGAGCCGCCTTAAACGCAGATAATCGCCACTCCCCTCTTCTTTGGGGGAGATCCACCGTGGAGCATGGGATAGTTCCAGTTCAAAACAAGCCTCCAACGGCGCTCTTAGTGGATGATGGTATCCCCTTCCTTTTGATGTGTTGACCTGACTTTTCTGAGCGTAAGCTCCACGTGGAACAGAGGAGAATTGCTTCCGAGTAAATCTGCGTGACCGCAATCTTCCATGGAGTACTGAACACGAAATCAACTCTAGAGAAATCCAGATTATTCCTTTCCCAAAAAGAAATATTTCTGATGGAATTAGGTTGCTAAACAGCTGGAAGAGCTGGCCTTGGTCTCTCGGAGGCTTGTTTACATGCAGCCTGATGGTGCCGCGGCGGAAACGACTAGGCGGCCCCTACAGAATGGCGATCAGCTCCTTTTACCTCTGCGCGGAGACAACCAGCACTTCTATAGAGGTCGTTCTTGTATATTCATCTCCTGAGTCCACAGCATTTATGGTCTAGAAAGATATATATATATATCTATATATATTCAAAGAAACGCACCTCAAAACATTAGGGGAGTGTAGACGAGCGATTAGAATTCCGCAGCGTTTCCAATATTGGATATTGTCTTCAGAAAGTGGTTTTGTGCCGGGGCTGCGGGCATCCCGATCATGTCTACCCTGAAGTAAATACTAATGGGTTTAGTCGATTGCAGCTCTAATTTGTGGCTCAGAGGTTAGGATTAACCTTCCTTCCTCTCACTGGATGATCTGGTATAGGAAGCGCCTCAGTGAAATGTGAGAGAGGAACCGATTGCACTTTGTGGAGATTAAGTCTAAAAACATTTCTACTCACGAGTAAGTTTCAGATATTGGGATTTTCCCTGGAAGATGGAGATGATCTTGTACACAAGACAATTGCTAATTACTTAGATCTCTATGGGCTTCAGATCATCCCCCCCCCCCAGTCTTGTGTATTTTTAATTTAAAAAATAAATTCTACCAGCCCTATTGGAGCTTACTTCTGAATAAATACTGTATAAGAAGAATGGGGCCACTGTAATGATTATTTGATAGGCAACTAGGGTAAGCCTTCATTGATTTGCAATAGGATTTATCCCATCGTAAACCTCAAACAAAATGATCAGTTTACAGAGAACCTTTCTCAGCCATAGACCCAAGGAAGACAGATCTTATTTTATGCTCCTAATATTTCCAAATGGTGAAAAATGCACTTCTGCAGTAAATTATCCTGTTATATCCATCTGGGAATACCCTGCTATTAAGGTTCACTAGGAACGAGGTGTTGCCATGGGGTTAAAATATTTCAGTCAGGAAAGGTGCTGTATCTGATGTCTCCTTAGAATCAAGGAACAGCAGCAAGGGTGGAGGAATGGCGCTATTGCGCTGGGTTACTGAACTTACCCGGCCCGGTGAAAAATATATTAAGTCATGGTCGTCAGGGGGCAGTGAGATTGGACTGAGCTCCGAGTTTGGAAGAAAATATTGCAAGATGGGGATAATATCGCTCCTCCTTCGTGAATGTAGATCTTTCCCCATTCCCAATGGTAGCCCAACGGGGTCATTGAGCTCAGTAGCCTCTTTCCTTCTACCCTCTCTCCCTCCTCTCTCTCTTGACAGTTTCCAGATCCAATGCTAGGAAATTTTAAAACATAGTGAGTTGGGTGTGTAACTGCTAGATTCTTCACTGCTATTTTGTGGAAAACTTAGAGCAGATAGAGTGTCTCTCTGAGTGTTCAGTTTGTTGATCATTCTTATTTCCAGTACATCTTCCAGTTATATTAAAAGGCATCAAGTTTATAGGATTTACAATACTGGTTGCCCATGAGGCATAGTTTACCCAATGAGTTATTTACATTTAATTAAACTAAGTTTAATACTTTATACATATTTCAGTTCTGCAAATTAAGAAGATGTCCTGAAATAAACTTGGGAAACCGGTAGGAAGCATCTGCTATATTTTCTTTAAGCTTGACATCTTTTATGTACAAGATGAGCCATGATATTATAAAATTGGTGAAGAGATGTAGTAAGTAACCCTTTTCCATTTATTTTAAAGCATTGGTGGTTTTATACAGATCATTTTCCTCTTTTGTGATACATAGAGAATTTAAATTTTTTAAATACTTGGTTGCTACCAAGGATTTCTGATTAGTCTTTTCTTCCTCTCCAAACCAATATTCTAAATATCCATTTGAAAAATCTGGACGCTCATTCACTGTGCCATTGATTTCTGTAAGGGTATGAAGTTGATGCTGTTCTAAAGAACCTAATACTAATGCTAGTAATGATAATTCATTACATTTATATGCTGCCTGACTCCTAGTGACTCTTCCTGCTTATTATCAGATAAACTTCCCTCACCTTTAAAGTGTCACAAAATCTCTGCCATTTTTACCTCCTCTGAAGGTCCAAAGTTACCTTTGTTGTTTTGATGGCTGCTGGAATTCATTGAAGCAGCACTTCTAAGGATTCCTTCAAAATGTCAGGAAAGAGCTGGGTTGGAAGTGTCAATTATTGCAGCCAACTCAGAAATGCCACGCTCTGCAGGACTTCTTTCTGCAATCTGTGGAAGAGCTTGTTTTCTTTTCATTATAATAAAAGATAAAATGTATGCTACTGGGAATTTATCTCGGGTTCTGATACAGTTGTACCAGTCAGGGGACTGTGATCCCAATCTATTCACTGAAAGGCAATTCCACTGAAAATATCTTTTAGGAGTGGGCTAAAGCATTGCTCACACTCATATGCTAAAACAGTACATAAGCCTAATCATAGCATTGCCTTAGCAGAATTGCATTATGTAATTTTCACGCTATATGGAAATAAATTCCCCTGATGTTTAATGGCCAGCGTTTGGACTTATCTGCTTCAGGGGACTTCATTTGTTCCATTCCCTTACTCCAAATGAATTACAGTAGCATGTATCAGTTCTGTCTTTCAACTGTTGTTTTCTAGCTTGCTTTCCTTCAGAGGAAGGACATCCATCTTCATCACTCAATTTTATACAGGTCTTCTCAGAAGTGAGATTTTTTACTACTCAGATCTACTTAATTCCAGGCATTTTTTTTTTCACTGTTGAAGAATGCTAAAAGGAATACTACTTCCCACTGCATTTTTGGAGCTTCCTAAGGATTTGTTTGTAATTTTTAATTTGTTTTAATGAGGAGGTGAGCTAATGAGCTGATTTAAATACCCAGAAAGCCCAATTTATCCATGTTTCTTAATACATTCATTAGGAGCATATGAAAAAAAATAGAATGCTCACATATAGTGTTTCACACTCTTGGATACCTTTTTGGTAGCAATTTGCTCAGCTTGGACTATACAGTTTGTTATACAATGCTTCAGAATTTAAAATTTATCAATCATTACATTGATAGTTCAGTAACTGGTAATGCATGTTCCAAGGCCAAAATTGCTAGACAGAGAAATAACAAGAACAAAACTGCAAATTGGAAACTCAGGCTTTAATTCTCCTAATAAAGCCATTTTTAATGCATTCAGCTGGTGATATTTGTGAATAGTATACTCTAGATACAAATACTAAACAATTAATGGGGAAGTTTCTAAGAGTTTGTTGTGTTTTTCATAATTTTGCATGGAGAAATGCTTCTCAGAAAAATGAAGTGCCAATGTTGTTTGCTTGACAAATGAGATTGGAGCCTATGGAAAATCCAAAAGCAAGGCTGAGTTCACAGCCCAAATGATTAATTCTAATTCAATCCTGCAACCCTACCCAGTCTGGTGTTTCCATTCAACTTGATCCTGGAAACCTAAGCAGGGTCTGTCTTGTTGAGTACTTGGATGGGAGACAACCTTAAAATTCCAGGACTGTGGGCCAGCCAGAACAAACATCTCTGAAGGTGATCATGGTAAACCACTTTCTTAAGTGTTGTGAAGAAAACTGCAGGGACACGTGTTCAGGGG